AGACTTGCTGTATGTTACTGGGGCTGTCTATAGTTTTAATCCTTTTGTTTACTTCACTTTCTATTAATGCAATTAATAAATTTAAAAAACTTGTAATAAAGAAGAATTTTGCTGCAAGACAACAGTAAGTCTGTAACTCAGAGATGGACTGATCCATTCTGTCGAAACACATGAACACAAGCTCTTTAATGTATCTAAACACAGGCAGTCGCTGTGCTTACCAGTGCCTCGGGCATGAGAGCTGTTGTTTTGAAGTGGATCAGTGGAACAAATGATGTAATGCTGAAGAAATGATTACAACTTTGTCAAGACAAATACTCAGAAAGCAGACCCACATAACAAATGAGGCTGTCCGTCAAGCAGATCGCCCGCATTGAAACATCGCTATATATCAAAGACATTCACACTGAATCTGCTTACAACGTAGCCATCATAACACTGCCATCATATTCAACGATATCGTTTGTGCTAATACAGTTCTGAGCTTCAGCTACTGCTAAACCCCAAATAAGGACTTTTTGGGTATTTTCACTTTCCTTTCTCTTGGCATTTGTTATAGAAATATAAAAGACTGGTTTTACCCAGTATCTGTGAGCTCCTCCTACACCATCGGGAGTTGAGCAGCCAAAACTGGCACACAGGTACATCTTAGACCCCTGAAAGTTCTTATCTAGATCATTACATAACGTAATCTTGTTGCCTGGTAACCACCTATGAGCAGGTCAAGATGACCCATTTGTAGCATTTAGGCACCGTAACACCTTGGACAAGCATCACATTATTTTAATTTCACAACAGTGATATGTAAGTTATATCCACAAAAAATGAATGCTGCCTAGCATCATGCTTTGGTGACAATGTTTTGCTAAGTTTGTGCATTTGTAGCACTTCTGCAGGAGTATGTGCCTTGCAAAAGCATCATATCATTTCAGCAACATCTCAATTATTTCCACAAACCTTGAATTATGTATGATATATGATGACATGTCATGTTGCCTGGCAGCCACCTAACAGTGCACTAAAGTCACAGACCAAACATTACTGTAGCATGAGCATGGACCAGTCATTTAGTAAATGCACATTAAAAAATGTCCAAAGCAAATGTGCAGTGCTTTTTTTAAACAGGAGAAGAATGAATATATGTTATTTTAATTAATTTAATTGATATAATAGTCTTAACGTATTTTCTTTGAAAGAAATTCTGCTTTTCCTTCTATTAACAAATTATAGCTGAAAATAGCTCTTTTTAGTAAGTGTCCAGCAGATTTGGGAATTATTATGAACTGTGGACCCATGAACTGAACCGTTTGAAGGAAAATAAATGAGATAAAATAAATAGATATAGGAGTTTAAAGGTTAGTAATTATCAGGTGGTGTCTGCTACACGTAGGACCTCAGGTTTCACTAAAGTCTTTAAAATTTCCAGTGAAATGATCTCTTTTCTCACAGCTGGAACACACATGCACATTAGTTGAAAATGAATCATTTTTGTAGCTAGAGATGAAAATCAGGTATCCGTCTTTAAGGCACTAATGAAAGTAAAGCTGTTCCCTGATGCCCGCAGGTGTGGCTGGATCTTTTGAAGCCGACACTGAAGCAGATCAGACGTAAGTCACTCTCAGATCCCATCTCGTCTTTCATCCTTCAAACGCCTCTGTGCTTCAAACTAAAACACAAATCCAAACTCTTCTTAACTCAGACATTAGACACTCCCACTAATAGTAGTAAACGGATATTTCCTCTGCAGCCTTTCTGCATCTCTCCACTCTGTCTCGTTCTTCCTAACCACATCCCGTTATTTCCCTCCTCCAGGGCCTAAAAACACCATCCTTCGTTTTGTGGTGAAGTTCTTCCCTCCTGACCACACGCAGCTCATGGAGGAGCTGACTCGGTAGGTCTTCCCCACACAGAAACCACACCTATCTGAAGAAGAAGCTCCCAAATTAAAAGACATGCTGTTCAGCATTTGGTTTCCTGTCTGGTCAGCGTGATTTCAGTCCTTCACCAGGAATTTTTAAGGACAATTTCTGATTTACAGCTGCACCCAAACATGAGGCAGAAGTCTTGTATATTTCTTGTTGTCTGCCTGTTGTTGTTTTTGGTCAGACCCTTAGCATTTATAACACATTTATATGCCTGACATCAAATAAGCCGTTTTGTCTTTTCTGGACCCAAACATATTTTTGTCATCTGGGAACAAGGCTCAATAAACCTTCTGGTATTCCAAGCCAGCTGAAAGGAAGTCAAAGAAGATGAATGGTCTGACCACTTCTGGCCTTTTATTCATAGTTTAACCCTGGAAGATCCATTTTATCTGGAAAACCAATCTCTTTTTTTTGGTCCTGATTCCCACCTATTCCCTCTGTCCTTTGTTTAAAAAGTGTAGCGTTATCTGCAGACCATCAAGTCCACCTTCTTGTTTAGTTTAGTGTGACGGAGCCTAGCGGGACCCTTCTGGACTGTTTCTGTTTGTCGGAGCTGATTTAGGACACACGCTACAGCAGAAATTCTCGGTCACTTGGCTAAAACATAAATAGGACAATTATCTGACCTTCCACATTTTTCCCATGGTGCTGACACTCCTACAGCCACCCAGCTGGGCTCAACCCTCTCGAGGCAGGCGTTGCCGATTTGCAAAAGTTAAAAACTAACAACCTGATTACCCCACATACATATTTTATGAGTTTTTTTTACTCAGAAGTACCACTGCAGGACTTGGTTGTGCATTAGCAACAAAAAGTTTAATTTGAGCCTGAGAGGGTTAATTTGAGATGATGGCAAATCAGGAAGCACTAAAGTTACCTGTAGAAATAAAGTTATAGTTATACCCACTGTAGTGAAATCCTACATCTTACTATTGATTCCTGTCACCAGCTCACTGTAGATAAAAGTAGGAGAGATTATTCCACTGACCTCATATCATCTCTGATTGTGTCAGTGGACGAACATGAAGTAGACACATAGTTGTTTCTTTTCCCCTTTTGTTTGGCTCCCACAGTGTTGCCGCTGTCAGTGTTTCCTTTGATGAGTAATGTAAGCACAGATGGAAGAAAGACTTCCTTGTGTGTATATCAAGCTGTTAACCTCCTATTAGCTGCTGATTACTGAATCTTCACCCCCAACCGGTTGTGTGACATTTATGTTTTTGGTGCTGTATAAACCAGAGCACTCGAGAGAGCATATCAACAACAACAAAAGCTTTGACCTTGGGTGCTAACAAAAAGGTCAAGGTCTAATGCTTAGTCAACCTTGGTCATCATGACCCCTGAAGCCTTGTGTATTCTTGTGAAGTTTGAAGACAATCCATGGAAAAATTATGGGTAGTATAAAGTTTTTACTTATTCAGTAGTTACTAGTACCTACCATCACAAGTGATCTGATTATGTACCTTCTCTCTTCAGGGGGTGAGAATAAAATTGAATTGAAATCATAAATGGGATCTGCTCCCAATAACAGTGCTACTCCAGTATGGTCAAGGCTGCTGGATTGACCTGATGTTTTTCAGTCTAAATAAGTGCAGCTTTCTTGTGTAATAACATTCTGCACTGAAAGCCTCATTAACTTTGCTAGCGAGGTAATCACGCAGCAAAACAGTTGAATTGGATTTTACATTAAAAGGTGCCGCAGATCATTGATCACACTCTCACATGGATTCACTCTGAATGCAGTAAACTGTTTGCCCACATACAGTGAATAGAAAGGCAGCGAATCAGGTTTAAATGCTGTGGGAGATGAACATGCGGACCTTGAATACTTTTTCCGGTGATGCCGTTTACATTGAATTCTGGCGTGCTCCTACAGGGTGATGTTGCCTACAGGCTTTTTTCCTTTTATTAAGCCTCCCACTGTCGTTGTTGGGCTTTCTTAATTAAAATGTGACATCACAGCCCGGCAGCATGTGCATACACGGGTGCACATGCTTGTGTCTGTGACTCTCATTAAGCCCTCATCATGGCCTAAGTAGCCGCCTGTATAATGATTAACAAAACCCGCAATTAGGGTCAGTTTAAAGGCAGTAGATGCAAAGCAGCGGGCATACACAGGGTTTCTCTCTAAATGCCATCACTTTAATGGTTATGAGATTGGCTCTAACATTGTAAGTTGCTGCGTTTATGGAGTGTGCATTAACCCCTGTAACCTTTCCCAAAACTTCTGTTTTTCATCTTCCTTTTCCTCCATCCCCACAATCTCTCTATTTTTTTGTTTGTTTGTTTATTTTTCCTCCAGGTATCTGTTTGCTCTACAGATTAAACGCGACCTGGCCTGTGGTCGTCTGATCTGCAACGACACGAGCGCCGCTCTCATGGTCTCCCACATTATTCAGTGTGAGTTTTAACACGAAAAGTATTCAAGAATCTGATGTTTGGAAGCCGCTGAAGCACACAAACAAGTCCCTTTTTAGATGATTTTGACATGCTGTGAATGTCATCAAATCATAACAGCAGTCGATGACTGGAAAACAATTAATTAAAATATGCAGAGGTTGTTGAGGTTCCTTTTTGCCTTCACAGTTCAGGGTAATCATTAATAATCACAGCAGCTGTATTGATTCGTATAACTTTAATTTTTAATTTGCATCAGTGTAGGGGGGGGGGGAAGAAGAAATTAAAATCCATGCTTTGCAAAAAGTATGTATGCAAATTAAACGGGAATAAATTAAACTTGAGCCTGAACGTAATTTGATGTCTGAGAGCTGTCGGACCGAATAAAAAGGCAGAAATCTGCACACTGGTTACTTGGCAGCACGGTGGCACGGTGGTTAGCACTGTTGCCGCACAGCAAGAAGGTCCTGAGTTCAATTCCAACATCAGGCCGGGGTCTTTCTGTGTGGAGTTTGCATGTTCTCCCCGTGTTTGCGTGGGTTCCCTCCGGTTACTCCGGCTTCCTCCCACCGTCCAAAGACATGCAGCTTGTGGGGATAGGTTAATTGGATAATCCAAATTGTCACTAGGTATGAATGTGAGTGCGAATGGTTGTCTGGCCCTGTGTGTTGGCCCTGCGACAGACTGGCGACCTGTCCACAGCCCTATAACAGCTGGGATAGGCTCCAGCGCCCCCCCGCGACCCTGAAAAGGATAAGCGGAAGCGAATTGATGGATGGTTACTTGGGTTATTCATTAACGCTTTAGCAGCAAAGTGGGTGGAAGTGATGGAGCCTTTCAAGGCAGGAAAGAGCACTCTTGTTACTCACAGCTTCCTTTCGTTCATCACATGACAGATGCCAGGCTAAAGGCCATTGTGCCACCCGGTAAATGCCTTTCATGTTGAGGGGTGTTGGATTCTTCACCGTCTCTGAAGTCATCAGCTATCCTTTGGTGCCTCCAGGACAACTGCTGATATTTTGGGGCTTTCGCTGTCATCTGTCAATGAGTACACATTGACAGTCTGCTCATCATCAGACAGTAGCTGACTGCATTTCACCAGATATGGCCCCTCTTGCTTGCTTAAATCTGAGGGGTCAGTTGCCTGCAGATACTGCATATTCATATGCAGATAGCTTTTAATAGTTACTAAAATTTCCTTGTCTGAAAAGATCTTTGGCCTCTGTGAAGGTTCTATTATAATGTAAATGCTTTGCATATGTAGATGACTGACTGTAAATCAACAGATTCATTACAGAGATTCCCTGTGGGGGTAATTTCAGCACCACTTACTGTGTTTTATACCAAGTAAATGACAACGAACATAAATACAAAACAGCCTCCTTCAACACTTACAGTAATACCAACGGGAACCACCATAGCATTACAATCTCAATCACCTCTCATTTATAATTGTAAACGTTATAGTTGAATGAAGTGTGAGCATGTGGTCGTCTACAGGATGCAGACTTTATGGTCGCGATTCGTCACAACGACCATTGTACCTCAGCTCTGTAAATGGAGGATATAGGATCTTGACTCCGTCTTTCAGATGCTGCTAAGGTACAGCGCTGTATACTGAAGGATATTGCTCAGTTGTCATAGCAACTGTCAGTGTTCAGCCCGTATGTGCACCTGCAGGCAGTACAGTATATGGGGGTGCTGCTGGTATAAAACAGATGGGGACGCATGCATCAGCACACTTCATCTACAACAGAGTTGCCAAGGTTGGTTTGTGGATGAGGAAAAGACCTTTTAACTCTTTTTTTTCCTCAACACTCTGCATCTTTATTTTAATCAGCTCCTAACCTTCCTCGTCCTCACTTTAAATAAATATCCATTTTCTTTTCCCTCCACCAGCTGAGATCGGAGACTTCGATGAGACCCAGAGCTGGCAGCACCTCCTTCACAATAAGTATCTGCCCGACCAAGACGCCATTAGAGACGAGATCATAGACTGCCACCGCGAGCATGTGTGAGTTATCTCGTGTGCAAGTCCACACATGGATTAGATGTGGGTTCCAGTGAATTCAGGGTTTTCTCTATGCTTTGTGGGAATCAGCATGGGTTTAATCTGCACAGTGTCAAAAAATGGCAACCAATGTAAGTTTTCAGCCCCTCCCAGTAACTTGAATGGGATTCAAACCCCACTCTCCCATGTGGAAGTTGTGTACACACCCGGCTACTCTACCATGTCTTACTAACTTCATAGCCTTCATGCTCTCTTACTCTATACTTTGCCGGCCTGAGATGTGGGGCAGTAACAATAAAAGGAGACTAAGAAGAAAAAACAAAACAAAACAGTTATTATCAATAAAATGAAAGCAGGCAGAACACCTGCTGTTACCATCAAAAACAAGGAAATATGGGTTAAAACAACTAAAGAGTAACCTGATTGCTGATTGGAGTAGACTATTAGGAGTAGTATCTAAGTCAGGAGAGAGAGCATGAGGCTCAGACGGGGCCCTGCAAGTTCAGCATCCCCAGGGTATCTTCCTGTAATACATCTTCACTTATCAGCAATCAGGTTAAGCAGTCACACAGAAGTGGTTATCAGATGGATAAGCAGATAACACAGGGGTTCGTCATTTAAGCCGGTCACATTAAAGTGCATTGGCAGCATTTGACAAATTGCAAGCATGCGTCTGAGAGCAACCTAAGTTAAATACAATTTTAAAAAGCAAATTCAACCATATGTGTATAGACTGCACGCTAATTTGATATAGTGTCTATTACTACAAATCATGGCCTGTTTCAGGATCGGATATTAACACACTATTAGTATTAGACACTAAAATTATTGTAAGTTGTAATTAAATAAAGTTGCATCAGGAAAACACAAACACATGGAAAAACCTTAGACCCTCCTACTGTCCTTTCACAGCTCTGAGAGATTTTCCAGGAAGTGATGCTGTTTTCCAGAGAATTGATTAGTCAGTAGGCAGTGATGTCATGCCTGATGAGCTCTTATCTGGAACATAACCTGTTTCTGAGCCGGTTAATTTTCAGGTTTGCCTTTAGGTCATCTAAAAAACAATCAAGTCTCCTTATGAATCAATTATTTTACTAGAAGATCAAACTACTTGAGTTACAAAATTCTGGTAAATAATGGTTATCATGATCCTTAATGTTTCTTCCTCTCTTCACATTTCCCTTTCCCACCGGATCATGATTGACTTCCAACATAGCTGCATTATCTGAAATTAATATAAAGGATTTAAAATCTGATCAGCTTTGGTGGATTAAGTGAACACAGTTCTGTGTATACATGATTCATGGGGGGAGGAAGCCTTTAGTAATCACAAACATAAACTCCACCAGTTTCACAGTATGTTAGCATGAATGTCAAGAGGTTATTAACAATTCAGGTCATTCTAACAGTACCAAAGCAGCACTGTTTACCTGCAAACAGCAAGATTATCCTTGCTTAGAAAACAATACTGAGCTGAGGTACAGATCAGTTTCTAGGTGGCAAGCTCAGAGGTGTCAGGAGAGATATGTTTGTCATATATAAACACACACCAAGCTCGCATAATTCCAGTCTGCAATGCAAAGATATTTATCTGTTTATTCAAATATACACCCCCCAAACACACACCCATAAGTCTCCCTCCTGCAGAGAGGTTTATCTTCTAACCACAACAGCCAGCACACACTCACATTCACACACTTCTAAATCTCTCCCCTGCAGAGCTGGCTATCTGCAAACATACCACTTCGCACTCCTACTGTGCCCCTGGGACCACACACACACACACACACAGACACACACACATCATGTATTTCATTTCCATGCTGCTGGCAGCAAATAAATAAATGAGATTCTTTTCTGGACATGCATAACCCTCCCTTAACCACCAATAATGTATGAAGCGCCTTGAGGCGACTTTTGTTGTGATTTGGCGCTATATAAATAAAATTGAATTGAATTGAATAAGAGCTGAAAAACAAACTTGTTGATCATCAGACACCGTGCATCGCACACCCGTTCTCCCCTCACCCTCCTCTCCGCCTTGCCTCCCTTCAATCCTTCACCCTCCCCTTAGCCGACACAGGAAGGAAATGGCCAATTCAGCCGCTTATACAGGAAACGGGAAGCTATTTTCAGATTTTGTGAGGAAACAAACTTTGTGTGGCTTTTTTGGCTGATTTCTTCCTCCCCGCTGTGGGTGCCGCAGTGTATTTTAAGGCTGACCCATGTTTTTAAATTCTCAGTATACCCAGAATAGATGCTTGTTTAGCCCCTGAGATGCACAGTTTAAGCTGTGACTCATTACCTCTTGGTTAGAGGAATTGATTTTCTTACACACTGAGAGCAAGTCTAGAACACTAACTAAGATGAATGGCTTAAATGAGCTGCTGATTGATCGCTGATAGTTTGATGCATCTCTCTTCTCCACAGCGGGCAGACGCCGGCAGAGTCGGACTATCAGCTGCTTGAAATCGCACGGCGGTTAGAGATGTATGGTGTTCGCTTACACCCAGCGAAGGACCGCGAGGGTACTAAACTCAGCCTGGCTGTAGCAAACAGTGGAGTACTGGTTTTCCAGGTAAAATCTTCAATAAGTAGGGGCCATAAAAGGTTTTTGGGGCTTGGGTGGGGCAGTTGGCTAAAAATTGATATTTTCTAGGTGAACACCAACGGTTTTTCGACACACATTAACAAGGCTGACAAATATGTTTTGTATGAGTTGTAAATGCTTTAGATATTTTATAGAAGAAAGAAGGAAGGGAGTCTTAGTCTTAGTATCATAGTATCCTCAACTCAAGGTGGAAGGTTTTCTCCACTGACAACACCGAGATATTTGGCACAGCAATTAACAGATGGTTGCTGCTGCTTGGCTGCAGTTCAGGCAGTTTTTTTAATGGTGCTCTGACCTGACACTCTCAAACATAACACACAAAACATGCCATAGAACAGTGGATGCACTCTCTTTTGACCAGGCTGACCCCAATTAAGTCCAGTCTGCGCTGTTTCACTGCCCTGATTTTTTTTCTGCCACATCTTCAAAGAGTGCTGAGATCTTTTAAAATTTAGCTGATATGACAAATCGATTAATTGGTTCCTGACGTTTTGTGGTAAGCCTCCACCCAATTCATCTGGTAAGGAATGTACCGCCTGGTAGTTTTGGGTTTGTTTTCGATTTTGCTTGTGCTGTCTTAACTGATTCTGATTTTTCTGTATTCAGGGGAACACAAAAATTAACTCTTTCAACTGGTCCAAGATCCGTAAACTCAGCTTCAAACGTAAAAGGTTCCTAATCAAGCTTAGAGCCGACCCCACTGTAAGTTCATACGACGTTTCCTTTCTTTTCTTGCCTCGCCTTTTCTCTTTCTGCTTTCTGTGCTTATATTTGTTGCTGTATCCTCCCAGCAGAATGCCCACCATGACACGCTGGAGTTTGCCATGGCCAGCAGGGACTGCTGTAAGGTTTTCTGGAAGATCTGTGTCGAGTACCATGCCTTCTTCAGACTCTTTGAGGAGCCCAAACCAAAACCCAAGCCCATCCTCTTCACCCGAGGATCCTCATTCCGGTTCAGGTAAGAAGAGGAAAGAAAAAAGAGACTGAAAGTGAAATCCTCTTTTTAAAATATTTTGGTTTCGTATCAACTGGTCTTCTTTCCGTGTCCTCTACCTGCAGTGGTCGAACCCAGAAGCAAATCATTGATTACGTTAAAGACTCCGAGCCCAAGAAAGTTCCATTTGAAAGGTGTAGTGTTCCTCCTTCGTTTTACCAAGACTGAGCCAAGCTACTGAAGTTAAATGTAATCAAATTTCTCGGTTTGCTGATTAGTCGTATATGGTATAATCTCATCTGTTTCCCTGCTTTTTTTTTTCAGGAAGCACAGTAAGATCCTGTCCAACAGCAGCATATCCCCTCAGTCTGCCTCCACAAAATCACATGTGCCAAAAGAGGTAATGCGAGCTTAAAACATTTCTAGAAACCCATTATTAATGACACCCACAACCATTAGCAGGTTAGTGTTTATGCAAAAAAGCATGAGCCAAAACTGTGCATACAAAACTACACTGCACTGTTATATTGTGCTATTGCATGCACAATATCTCCAGGATGTTTCGTCTGAGATCGGAGGTCAAAATTAGGCACGTATAGTTGAGGCAGTTAGTCTTTGTTGCATTACTTGAAAAACATGTTTGCGTTTTTATATCCATTTCTGGCCTTTGACAAAGTAGTGTATTCTATGCTTGAATTAGTTTTTTTTTTTTTTTTAAAATTTGGCAGTCCTGGTATTTTTACTTTAGTGTAAGATCAGAAACTCTTTGGGAAACCAAGCTGAACAATACCCACATGCTTCCTGTTGGCTAACATTGCTTTACCTGGTAACAAAGCTATTTCCCAAAGCTTAGCTAGCGGGCTAACTTTAGCTTGCTTGGTGTTGGAGTTCTGTTTGTGTTAGGAGCTGGTCGTTACTGATGAGAAAGTAGCAGTATGTTATAAAAAGTATAAAATAACTGCTTACCGTTTTAGTTTAACAATAACTAAAGTAACTAAACCTTGTAACTCTTCAGGAACTGCACAATACTGTCACATAATTAAACTGACAAATATTTTATTTTCTGCCTGGGATGTTGTATCTTTGGCCAAGCTTTTTAATCAGCTGCTTAATGCCCTGCTTTTCCAACACATAACCCCCGCTGTAAAATCCATGGGTGCTTGGAGTTATTGGTTGGCATTACGTTCACACTTCATGCTGCTAGCATATCCTGCTATCTTTGCCTCAATGAGCAATATGAGTTTCTTTTACACTTTCAGCAGGAATAGTTTTCTTGCATATCAAAGTACTGTGTTTTGTGAGAGGTTGTTGAAGTAGCTCCGTATTTAGGTACTAAATCAACATTGGGGGCTGACATTGGCTCTCACTCTTAGACATGCTCAGGCTTGTCTTGTCTGAATTATCCTTCAGTCTATGCCATAACCTGATGGGCACCTCCTGAGAAATCTAACTACATGTCAGGTTAACTCAACCCACAAGTGTTTTGAATTAATCAGTGAGAGAATAACAATCATTGCCTCAGTATAAAGAATAATAGTCATAGCGTAAATGTATGGACTCAGAAATGTCAACTACCAAAATAGTGTGAGGGAAAGTACAGTAGAAAACCAGAGGGAGAAATATGTTTACCTTTACTTGGAACTGCATTAGAAAACGCCGAAACACAACCACACGATAATTAACAAGCTTTTTTTTCTTCTTCTTTTTTTAAAAATCACTCCTCAGCATCTTTGTTTACATCTGGAGCTGTGATTACAAAGCTTGTGTACCCATGCCGTTCCAGGGAGTGAAAATGTGTAACTGAGTGCTTGCTCTAAGGCTGTCCCTGTAATAGAGCCCAAATAAATAACAGTTTTATCCTTTATTATTCCCCCCTTTTAACCTTTCATTCCATCTTCACTCCATGTTCTGTCTTTTCTCCCCTCTTGTTATTTGCAGAGTGCCACGTCGATCCCGTTAGCAGACCAGCCTGACTCAGACAGATTGAGCCATCTGGCTGTACCTAATGGTTCGGAGGAGCCACAGGCGGTCACGCCCCCCACCAATGGTCTTCATGGCCTAACGGCAGCGCCTGGCTCAGACCCGACTCAGCCCCGACAGAACCACCACCTTGCGGGATCAGTACTGGACCAGCAGCTCCTCAACCCAGGTCCATCCTGCAGGGCAAACAAAGGCAGCAGCTCTTCTATTCCTTACATAGACTGCAGCGACATAGACAGTGAATGTGATGTGACAAAGAACAACAGGGCTACCCGGGGTCACAGCAATGCAAATGACAGCAATGAGGATGAGCCTTGTGCTTATAGTAGGCACTTGGGTAGTCCTGGTCGAAATGGGGGGCAAGCTGGGAGGCTGTTTGGGGCTGTTAATGGGTTCTATCACACCAATCACCAAGGGCTGATGCAGCAGGGTATGGTGGGGAAGCAGCAGCAAAGCATGCAGGGTAACAGGAACACTGTAAATCAGTCTCCTGTGTGTAACAAGTTTAATGTGAGTCACGAGCTAACAGATGAGGACGTTTTGACAAATGGGCGTCTCCCGCTCCACAGCACGCTGTTAGATGAGATCTTTCAGGGGCGAGACAAGCGAGGTGCAGTGTTGGGTCGTCCATTAGGAACCGGGACACGCAGTCAGTGCTCCAGCCCGGTGATCAGCAGCTTCCATCACCGCACAAACTCACTCAGTCACTCAGAGATGACAAACGGTCACAGTCAGCCACGTTCAGCTTCGCGGTGGGATGACGGCGGGCATTATTTCAGTAAACGTCCTGGAGCGCTCCCTGTGGAGACTCCCACAGTCCCGCCATCATCCCATCCACAAAACCACTATGGCAGCTACTCCCCGATCGCCTCAAACCGCACTTCGCCAAATCTGGCTAAACCGTACTACAACAACAATAACATGAGGAACCGCTCTGACACTGACCCATTCATTCTCAGCCAGCTGACATCGACACCCATCAACCACCGCAATCGCTCTGGGCTGCACGCCAAAACTCCTGGCTCTGCCCCACTGGAGCGTAGAATGATGATGACCAACGGCAATGACAGGAACCTCCTGGTTCCTGGTCAGCCACGGTCCAATACGGTGCAGCGGATGTTCGGGCATCAGGGAAAGCCCGGCAGCAGCCCGTCTAATAACAAATACAACACTCTAAACCAGCCGGTCCAAATGATCGACGGGTCTACTAGCAGCGGCACAGACACCAGCGACACAGAGTCAGACACGGGCAGCAGTGCGTACAGCCAGCCCTTAATGTACGGCAACCCAGCCGCCGTCAGCTCCATGATTTCAGTTAACTCAAACGGCACATCCCCGCTCTCTCACACCAAGTTCTCTTTCGGGAGTTTGCAGTTGGAGGAGGGTGGCGACGGTGAGGAGGAAGAAGAAGGGTGTTACCGCTTTAATGAGGAAGACGTAGGCGGTCGGGTTTTTAGCTGTTGAGCGAGCATGAGTGGGCAAAAGGAAAAAAACAACGTGTTAATTTAGTGTGTTACAGATAAACAGATGTTTAAAGTCGTCTTTTTCTTCTTAGAGACAGCTTTGTCTTCCTGCTACACTGACGAGCACCGAAATAGAAGGAAAACACTATGGTTGATTGCGATGCTTTTACACATTTTATAATCAATCACGCTTTACGCACAGGGTCTAACATATTTTCTGGAGCGTAAACATAGGACAAGATGTGTGTTTTCTAAAGGCGAATTGAATCTTTAATAACATCTGTTTTTTCTAAACTCCTTTTTTAAAATTACATATGCAGATTTCTTAGTAAGCTGCTAACTGACACTTTTGTGAGCCAGCCAGCTCTTTGTATAAAAAGAAAGGTAAAATATTGAGCATACATTTGGTAAAAGCTTCCTCACAACGTGCCATAACTCAGAAACGTTTATATTCACTGTAGTTGAATGTGCAGAAGGAAATGTTTCATAGAAAGTTAGAGGAAAACCTTGACGTTTTCAAAAAATTCTTGTTCACTTCACACTTTACTTGTTAGCATTTGCCACATTGTTAAGAATTAAGACATTTTTTTCTTATTTGTGGGACATTAAGGTGTAGAAGTGTGTGAAGAGTTTTTTTTCTTATTGGTAGTAAATGTGATACTTGATTGGTCTTTCTAAAAGCTGTCAAGCTCAGCAGATTTTCTGCCTTTCTGTGGCATTATACACCCATTTTGTAGTTATAGTGTAGCTTTTTTCTCTAAATCAGACTGTCTGGTGCAATAGATGGACTTTGAGGTAATAGCTGAAGTTCATAAATGGATTTGATAGGATGCTAGGAGGGGAGACTTCTGTACAGTTGGTCTGATCCCCTTTAACTGTACAGTATATTTGATTTAGTTAGTAGATTGAATTGTACTTGGAGTGTTACACTTTGGGAAAAGTGTGTTTTCTATGTGAGTTACTGGGATCTGCCAGAGGAGGAAAATAGCCGACTGTTGTTGTTCCTGTCTTCTGAGCAATTTTTCATGCATTCAGTTCATTTGTCTGTCTGTCGTGGGTGATCTGCATGGTATTCTGGATATTTGCGGTCATGACTTTTTGTATTTAGACCAATTGAAGTAGTTTTGCATCAATTTTAGGGAAACCCTAATCTTTTATATCTGTGTTTTCTAGCTGAAGCTCCATTTGTCTCTACATTTCAACACTTATGCTACTTCAGCTGGCTGGTGATGGGTTTAGGGGGATTTCTTCAGCCTTTATTTCTTTCTATGGTTATGCTTTCTCTTTCTGTCACGGTTTATATGCACATAATCAGCGGTAATCAAACACACCGACCGCCATCCTCGTCCTGCTTTGCTCGGCTTGGCTCCAGGCATGCACTGCAACCACAAACAGAGGTAACCCTGTTATCTTTCACCTCTCTGGATGCTGTTTTCTGCTGGTGAAGGCTTCCCATCTCCATCTCTGTCATTGGCTGCTCCACTACAGCACGCTGAATTGGATCAAACTGAAGTGAATTAAAGTGTGGGCTTCTCTTGAGACATGCAGGAAATGTTTGAATGTCCCATAAACTAAATCAGTACAAAAATAAGCCAACCTGTTGAGTATCAGTTGAAATTACTTTAAAGATCAACACAAGGAGCTTTTGTTTAGATGTCATGTGTCAGCACTGTCATCCAGATAGACTGAGTAAGCAAAAATTGCATTAAATGGTATTAAGTCAGTGTCTTAGCTTGCTCATTCTCATTCTGGTTTGGTTCTTCTTGCATATTACAGTCTTTTTGCACCTAAATTGTAGCACAACAAACGCAAACACAAACAGTACTTTGGTAGATTCAGTTTTAGGAAGCTGAACTGTTTTGCTGATATCGGGGGTTCAAGTTACAAGGTGGCTTAATTTGGACTGAATGTCGTCAAGATTTTATCAGTTTCCAAGGTTGAATGACCTTTTGTTTCCTGCTGCCTCTACCTGAATCAAATGTTCATGATTCACTCTTTGTAAATGTTTGTTTTTAAGCATGTTCTTGCTTCTTTTTTTTGTTGTTATTTCAAGGGGTTGAAAAAAAGTCTTTCAGCACTGTTTTCTCACCATTTCACTTTCTGTACTGTAAATGCATGTTAACCAGGTGAAGGATGTTGCTGCTCTCTGTCACTCAACTCTGTTTTTGCTCCCTCTGTCACGCTGTGTTTCTGTCACGGGGCTTAAACTGGATCCAGATGTGTGAGGGTGCAGTTTAACACAATCCTAACAACAACCCTATAGCTTTGCAGGCTTCTAGACTCAGATACTTCTTACTGCAGTTTATAGCCCTTTTTTGTTGTTGTTATTGTTGTTGTTGTTGTTGCTCCTTGCTCATGATTTCTCAACTGCACTGTTTTGTTTTTAAATATTTAGAAACCATTCGTACCCATTGCGGTTTCCTCACCAAGCATGAGGACAAAACAAGGCTGACTCAACTCCAGTGCTCTTTTAACGGAGACTGAGAGGGCGAAGGTAGACAGACACAAGTAACGTTCAGCTTAAAGCATAATGCAAGTGCAAAAATAAAGATATCTTTGAGAGATATTGGCATTTTATTTTTTAAGGTATGAAAGTCAGAGTATTGTGAGAAGTTATTCACATGCATACACTGGAATACTGGGGTTGAGTCCAGCTTGTCTTTAGTCTCGCTGCCTGTCAACAAGTAGCACTTGAAGCCAGTCACTTCCACTGAAGCTTGTTTTTGTAGTTTTAATATAAAGTAGATGCAGTAAAAGACTGATTGATTGATATTTTGTTTATTTATGGAATTAATTGCAGCCAAATTTGGTTAATTTGACTGATTAATTTAAAATGAAAGGTAAACTACCTTGTAGCTTTTTTTGGCGATTATATATACATATATGTATGTATGTGTGAATGTGTGTGTGAATGGGTGGATGACTGGATATGTAAAGCGCTTTGGGGTCCTTAGGGACTAGTAAAATACAGGCCATTTACCATTTATATACACACTGTGATGATATCAGGTTGCATCACGAAATAGTTTGAAACTTTTGGAAATATTTGATGTCTTTCTGAAAGCTAAAGATTTATATATGTTGAAAATATGAAGCTACAGCCAGTGGCAAGTTAGCTTAGCTTAGCAAAAAACATACCCCATATGTCTGTCTAAAAGTGACAAAGTCCACTTGTTAGCAACTGTAAAGTTTAGAAAATAACTTGACAGGTTGCGGTTTTGTAGGGATTTTCTCACTTGTTGCTAACTAAGCTAAGCTAACTTAAGCTGAGTTCATATTTATAGACATAAGAGGTTTCAGTCTTCTTATTTAAGTCTGAGCAAGAAAGCAACCATATTTTCAAAGTGTTTCTTAAATTTAGATTATTAAAATGGTAAACAAGGGTACTGCTGCGTCACTTGATCCTTTAATCTTTTTCTTTTTACATGATTTTTTTAAAAGGTGTAAACCACTTGTTTGCTGTTCTTTTAAAGTTAAAGTGGAGACCTTGGTGGCAGTTGGGGTTTGCATGTTTTCTATTTATTTGTTCATTTTAATGACTGTAGCATGCTTTGAAATTATAAATACTGAACATGCATCCATTCTAGTCAAAGATCTGCATAAGCATCTTTACAAATTAACATGCTGATTTTGAATGGACTAAAGCTGCATTGACTCACTGTTTTTTCTGTCTCTGCTGTAACACTTTGTATTCCTCCACACCTGTCCTTTTTTTTTTTTCTTTTTTCATCACTAAGCACCTTCTGAATCCTTTTTTTGGTGACTTCTCTGAGGCCCCCTTCCCCCATTTTCCCTTTAATCTCTCTTTTTAACACTGTAACTGATTATGTGAACTAGTGTCAATAAACAAAAAAATGATGACGTTTGTCAGAAGAAAAGGGACTTGGGAATTTCTTTAGAACAAACAGGTGCTGAACTGCCGTGCCCCTCACACACCCACCTATATACCCTCCGCCTGCTCGTCACGTGGATCCCACCAGTGTTTTGTGTTGTGGTAGTTAGTCTGTAGCGTAGCCTGTTTGTCTTTTTCAGTGTTGTACTTGATTCCACTCCGTTTATTGTTTTGTAGCTTCAGTTCGTTTTTTTGTGGTAGTTTCTTAGTGGTCTTCTGTATGGCTGTCAGTGTTGTTATAGCATCCCCCCCACACACAGACTTGCACTCATTGGTTGCTATGGTTTTATCCATGATTCAGTTTGGTGTATAGAAGTGGACTCTGTGGAAACTTTGCACCTGGGCAAGTATACAGTTACGACTTAGTACCATGTAGTTACCATGTAGTTAACATCTGTAGTGTTTCTCACATTAGTGAGAAGTAGACTTATCTTTTTACCCTTTCCATCATTTTCATAAAGGGCTGCCAGAAGCAGATTTAAACTACTCAGAGCAGATGCCTGTTATACGACAGCTCCATTTAAGGCATCATCAAAACTTTTTAGTAAAAAGTTAAAGTGGCTAACTTTTACTGCTTCCAGCATCTCAAAGTGTAGGTGATCTTTTTTTAAATCATAAATGGTTGTAAATTTAATGGCACTGATCAGTCTTGTACTGTCCTTCTGGTGTTTATGTAGGCAAATTGAAGCAAAAGATAGCTTGCTGATGAACTATGAAATATGCAGAAATGTTCAAAGCCCTCCACTATGCACACCATCATTCTTCCCCTTAATTTGCCTATGTAATGCCTTGATATAACCTTTATTAATGGTTGGCTCTTTACTAACAGTCTGTTTTTCTTCTCTCCATCCCTTCTAGCTATGCTTTAATCATATTCACATTCATATAAGTGAATGCAAATAGAATAGAGTCAGTGGACAGTAGCATTTGGTCAAGTGGCATTTGGTCCTAAAGTATGATCTAAATGAGAGGTGCTCATTTAGACCATACTTTAGAACTGATTGTGTAGAATTATCCAGTGTTGAAATTCATTGCCAATCATCTTGTTTTATGTTTAATTGAGTTATTTGGAGACAATATTATTGAACAATTCTTCTTCTTCTTGTTAAATATGTTTTTAGGTGCACAGTGCAGTGAGCCTGGAAACCTTTTGCTTCACTGCTGTGTCTGGCAGAATAAATAATTCTGTCATGATTAAATGTTCTATTAAATGATAAGAAATACAAATACAAGTTGGCAGTGCATTTCATTGTAGAAGCTGAATTTCTCTTTGTATCAAATTTAACACTGTCCCTTATCTTCTCTTGTCATCTTCTCTTACTCTTTGTTCTATTCCTAACCTCCGCTTCTCCCCCCTTTCTATATTCTTCTTTTCTTCTCGCCCCTCAGGAAGTCCGGGTTCAGAGAAGTCTTCGTTGGGAGGTCCTCATGTAGCAGTTAATGGGAACGGCTCTGTGAATGGGCAGAGAATGGGAAGGACTGGGGTCCTGGGTGCTGAACAGAGTGCTGAAATCCAGCCGTTATCCCCACTTACCAGCCCGCTGCTTACCGAAGCGGGATATGTTCGCAACGATGAGGAAGACGAGGCGAGGAGGAAGGTGGGTATACAGAGAGTAAGAAGGTGGATGGGGAAATTTCTTGTAGTCACTGAATTGGCCCCCAGAAGGACTTCAAAGGAATTTAGTCTGGACTAAGAAGTTGTGAACACCCAAGTCTTTCAGTACTTGGAAAAAACAATGCTGTGACTCAGACAAATGTGCAAAGCCTTTAGTCACTCCTCTTTTCTTTATATTTTGATTCAAGCAGCCAGAGATTCTTGTAATTTTTGTAAGTGCGCTTGAGCAACAGTTTTCCAGGCTTTCTTAAGTCCTTTCAAAAGTCTTGGTGACTTTTTCACTCATTTCAATCCAGTTCTTTCGCCTGACCATTTTCATAGGAATGATTTGTTTGTTAACACTGACCTATGAATCACTGAAGCATTAATATGGTCAAATCAAGTTATGACCCTGTGTTGTGTTTACACAAAACAGACAGGAAAAAAAACATGAAGTAACAAAGAACTTGTTTTGTTGGTACAGCCTGTCACAAAAACGCATAACTTGCTTTTATTTCTTGCATATACACATGGAGATATGAGGAAACTGGACAAGTAGTGGACAAAATAAGAAGTGGCATACCTGAAAAAAACAAAACAAGACCTTGTTGCAGATGAACTATATCTGAAAGTCTTGTCCTTAAGAAACAGGAAAACTAAAGCAAAGACCTGACTCAGGACCTGAGAGATGCATCTGGACCCAAAGGTCGATTCATCAACTGTTCACTGAAACCTCATCAGAAATGGTCTCAGTGAAAGACTGGCTGTCAAGAAGCCAATCTTAAGGAAAGAAAGGGGTGGGGGTAGGAGTGCTGAGGTATTCCACATTACAGAAGAACTGGAATGAAAAACAGTGACATCAGGTCTGAAGGAGTGACAAATCCAAATGTGAAAGTTTTCATTCAAATCATTGTCGGTATGTATGGAGGAGGTCATTAGTGTGCTGTGAGTGTCCACAGCAGGGGTCTCAAACTTAAATGAGCTGTGGGCCACTGCTGGCACTGGAGGGCCGCTTCAGTGTTCAAGTAATACAAATATTGTATAACAATACAAAACTGCAAATTTGTTTTCTCACTCTTAACTAACAGAAGTCTTTCATTGAACTACCAAATAAACAAATTGGTTCTCTCTTTCTGACCAGACATGTGGCAGCACTTCCGCTATAATTTTGTTTATATTAAAAAAAAAATGCAGACGTAAGTGTACACATTAGTTTTTGACTGCTAGTGAAAAATGTTTCACTAGCAGCATTTTTTTTTGGCTTTTTAAAGAACTTATTTTAACATTGGACTCAACAACAAACAAATCCTCCCTAACAAAAAAGTAACTTCAAGGGCCAAATAAATGAATCAATGCAGCTATTCCCAATTTTTCTAGCAAAATGCAAAGAAATAAGGTTGGCTGAAGACCTTTGCACGTTACTGTAATTTGGTGAGACAAAGAAATTATTAATTGGGGGAATTCATCCAAATTAATAACAAGAACTGAACTGCTGGTCTTTCGCAACATAAAATGTGCAGACTTCTTTCTGTAGAAGATGAGATAAAAATATATATAAACAGATTGATTTGCTTCTTTTTGTTTCTGTCTAGAAGTTTCCCACAGACAAGGCTTACTTTATAGCCAAGGAACTATTGACCACAGAGCGGACCTACCTCAATGACCTGCAGGTTATCACAGAGGTAAAGATAGTGGTGCCTCTTTGTCTCCATGTATTGTCCAGTCTCTTGTGTCCAATCTGTTATCTCTTCCCTTCACACTGTGAGGCCATTACCATCTGGATTAGACTGAAAGTGGCAGGACCAAGAGCCAGTGTGGTCCAAAAGCATACCGTGAGCCAAGGCTGGTTTCTTTAGAGCCTTAGTACCGGAATAATGAGTCAAAACTGTTGGTTTAGAAGTCTAATTTTGGGACAGTGTACCAACATTAATCTTTTTAAAAGCTCATGTGCTGGAACAGTGAGTCAGGGTTGGTTTGCACCGCACAACGTGCTGAATTCGAGATGCAAGCATTGGTGTTTTTTACAGCTATATATTAGAAAAAGAGGCCCCAAAGGGAAAGTAAAGGCTCAAGTCTGAACCAAACTCACAAATCTTACAGTGTTTGTTCTCAGTAATGCAACATTAATATTACATTAGTTCCAGCACACAGTTCCAGTCTTACTTCTCTTTTTTTATTCACATCCCAGAAAAAGGCTTTTATGTGCTTTTAGTTTGGCCCCCGACTGAAGGCTGAAGTTTATGAGCACTTTTCTCATGCAGGACAGAGATGAAAATGCATTCAGTGCAGTGCATATGCTACAACTCTCTTCCTTGTAAGTGAGCAGACTTGTATCTTTTTGCTGTTACATAGCTTGGACAGACTAATTAGCTTCAGGCTCTTTTAGTTTACAAGTAAAACCGCTGAAGTCAACACAGAAAAAAAACCCACTCTGCATTTATAAGAACAGCGTCTGGGATGAAAGTGCAGCTTAATGTGGGTCAGACTCAGTCTTTGCTTTCATATGACTCACTTTTACTGTCTGTCGCAACTGCTTTCGAAAAAAAGAAAAGAAAAAGGAAATGTGATAGGCGGGGTTATGATGAGTAAAGACCACCAATGCAGAAACACAGGTTCAGCACCTGCTTGCTAAAGACCTGTCTCCTTAATACTGAGACACTGACGGTGACCTCTGACCTCGCTGTGGAGTAGAAAACGCCTCTGTTCCTACTTTTTCCTTTCTCAGCTGTTTTTCTTCACATTAGTAGTTTCCAGCCTCTTTGATGTGGAAAGAAGGCATGCGCGGGTGCTTTTTTTAAAACCTCTTAAACATTTTCCTTTGCTGGTACAGCTCACGCCTGGGATCCCACACCCACCCATCTTTTTCTCTTCTTTTTTCTTTTTTAAATCTCGTGTCACTCATGCTCTTTCCGGGCGAGTCCGTCTGTGAAACTGCTGGACTGCCGCCTGTCTGCTCGAGCTCTCAGATCCTGTGTGATTTACTACAGCGGGGAATATAACACCTCTGTGTCAGGGGTCGTGGTGCGCTCACACGGGGCCCTGAGCACATTTATGTGTGTCTGATGGATTTCTGTTATCATGTCCAATCCCTCATCCTGGATCCTACCAGTAATGTGTGGGACCTCATACTGGATGTGTCCCTTCCAATCTCTGCCAGTAATCTGGGGGAGTTGTGGATGAGTAGGAGTTACATTCTCATTATTTTTATTCCTTCTGAATGTTTTGTTCACTTACTTGTGAGGTGCAGAAAAGGCACTCATTATGTGCCGAAGTATCCGATATGGAAATACAATTTAAAAAATATATGTATATAGTAAAAGATAAAATGTGATCTGCATTTTCTTCTTTTTCCACATGTCCACATTGTTTGTCAATTTTCTAGTCCTTCCACAGCGCTGTGGGGAAAGACGAGGCTTTCCCAGACTCTGTTAAGAGCCTGATCTCTGCCAACTACGATCCAGTGTACAAGTTTCATCAGGGATTCCTCAAAGAGACAGAGCAGCGGCTGGCGCAGTGGTCAGTGTCCATCTGTTTCCATTCAGAAAAGTTTTTTTTGTTTTTCAGAAATTTACAGATGAGGTTTAAAATTATTTATTTTTACTGTATGTTTATTATGTTTAAAAAAGGGCTTGAATTAAAGTTGTATTTGTTTTTTTCATTTTCAGCTCTATAATTTTATTCAGCCTACTCTGGAAAAGTAGCTTTGCATGATCCACGGTTCAAAATAATCTGTATTTATCTTAACCTGGGGCTGGCTCTGACTGAAAGAAGGTGTTTTAACTCCTCTCCCCCTACTTTCATATGATTGGCTGCCCCTCTTTGACTGAACAGAGGAGGTGGGTGGGGCTTCTGTGCTCACAGACAACGCATCCACACTGGAACTGATTCGCAGTGATGTGGTGACCACAGAAAGCAAATGAGTTTCTATTATTTCAGATGACTACATGTTTAATAACCGCTGGTGACGGGAAGCAGGCGAGACCCGAAACTAACTTTGTCAACTTCTACATGACTGACTGAAGCCACTACCAATCAGAGTGAAGAAGACTATTAAAAATGACATATGAATCTTATCGTAAAGGCAATCAGAGCCTGCAATGTCATCAAGCAACTGGCCTTCAGCTTCAAAATGATGCAAAACAAGCGAACCATCTCCGGTGTGAACACAGCTTCAGTCTTGGCTCTGTATGATATCATCTACATCCAAGAGTGGAAAAGGCTGTCTCAAACAGAGCATTGGTCTCATAGGGTTTAGTAATCCTTATTTAAACAACAGTATGTATACAACATTATATAAGGTAAAGAATAATAGGCCCCATTTTTAACAGAGGAAAAAGAATAAAATAGAAAAATGTTACAAACTAAAAATGGTCACAAATTAATTCCTTCCTATTTTTATGTTTAATTCAAATGTGTAGAACATTTTCCACAGTGCAATTAAGCAGGATTAGTGCATGTAATCAAAACAAGTCCAAAAAAATGGGAAGCATTTTAACACCAGATTAATCTTGGTGCTGATGTAGGATCAGGAAAAATGAATCCCTTCTACTGTAGTTTGTCTCTGTGTGCTACTTTGTTTCCAAGCAGTTCTAGTCATGTTTCATAGTCATATTCAGCCTAGATTTTTTTTTTAGTAACCCAAGGAATTATTTGAACTGATTACATTTTCATTTTCCTTAATCTGAGATGGCTAAATGGCTTTGTTGGAAATTTTTTCCTTCACTTGATATAAGTCAAAGTCAAAGTCAAGTCAAAGTCAACTTTATTTGTCAATTCTGCCACATGTACAGGACATACAGAGAATAGAAATTTCGTTACTCTCAAACCCTAGATGAAATAGCAATGAACATTTAAATATAAGAGAGTGATTAAAAAAATGCAAATAAAATAATTAAAAAGTAAAAATTTAAATAAATACAATACAAATTAACAAGAAAGCTATACAATATACAATATACAGTATTCAGGTAAGGGTAAATGACATTGAGTGTAAACCAGGCAGAGTAGTGCAAATAGGCAAATAGTGCAAATGGAGATTTAGTAATGTACAGTAAGAGATAGTATAACAACAAAGTCTTATGAGGTAGTGGCAGTCCAATGCTCCACAAAGTGACTGGTAACTGGTGCAGGCCAGTGAGTGAGTCAGAGTGTGTGTGTGTGTGTGTGTGTGTGTGTGTGTGTGTGTGTGTTGTGTGTGTGTGTGTGTGTGTGTGTGTGTGTGTGTGTGTGTGTGTGTGTGTGTGACAGAGTTCAGTATAATGTGGTATGAAAAAGTCTGTGTTCGTGCAAATACCTGAAATTCCTCACTTTCCCTGCTGTCGGAATCTGTTTTGTGTTATCTCTGTAATGACAGGCAGGAGCACACATACACACTCACACACACTCACACACACTTACACACACTGGTGAGATGAATGGGTCTGTGGGAGTTGAATGAAGACTTTTCCACACTTGTGTAAGATGTTTTGAGCTGACACCTACTGGTGAATCTGTGCTCCTGCACATTAACGCACGTCTTAATCTCTCTTCAGGGAGGGCCGATCTAACGCCCACATTAAAGGAGACTATCAGCGAATTGGTGACGTTTTACTCAAGAACATTCAGGGTCTCAGGGTAAATCTCCATACTTGACTCTGGATCATTAATTTCATAAAATAAGGTGCATTTTAATTTTTAACTTTTAATTTCTGTCTCTTATCTTGGTTTCATCTCTTTCCGCATCTGCAGCAGTTGACGATTCATCTCCAGAAACATTCAGAGTGCCTGGTAGAACTGGAGCGGGCCTGTCGGTGGGTGGCAAAACAGTGAGCATGCAGACAAGTTGTTCAAATCAAAACAGGATGTCCTAAAGAGAAACTTCATCCCTGTGACTATCAGGTCCAGTCGGAAGGTGGAGACTTTATGTCGAGACTTCGAGCAGCAACGGGTTTGCTACCTGCCCCTCAACATCTTCCTCCTCAGGCCTCTTCACCGCCTGCTGCACTACAAACTTATCCTGGAGAGGCTCTGCAAGCACTACCCGCCCACACATGATGACTTCAGGGACTGTAGAGGTACACAGTCCCCCACACCTACCCTTTCCGCTCATGTGTGTATTTTCTTTCTATATATGAAAATAAATCTGTCTCCTCCAGCTGCCCTGGCGGACATCTCGGAGATGGTGTTGCAGCTTCAGGGAATCATGATGAAGATGGAGAACTTCCAGAAGCTTATAGAACTGAAGAAGGATCTGACCGGCGTCGAAGACCTCATCAGCCCCGGAAGGGTGCGGCTCTTTAATAATTCAGCTAGTCTAGATTCATCCTGGACATTTGTAGAGTTTTCACTTCCTTGCTCTGCCGTCCTGTTGTCACATTGTCGGTGTGATTCTGTTTCACTTACAGGAGTTCATCAGGCTCGGTTGCCTCAGCAAACTCTCTGGAAAGGGCCTTCAGCAGAGGATGTTCTTCCTGGTGAGATTTTATGCTGGTTTCTACTAAAAAAACAAAGCATTTATAATACCTCTAAACAAAGCTCTTCACTCTTTTTTTTCTTTCCAGTTTAGTGATTGTTTGGTGTACACCAGTCGAGGCATGACTCCATCCAACCAGTTTAAGGTTCACGGCCAGCTGCCTCTCTATGGCATGACGGTACATAATCAAAACACACACACACACACACACACACACACACACACACACACACACACACACACACACACACACTTATCTTATCTTATCTTATCAAAGCAATTTCTTTTCCTTATGAAAGGTTTTTCAGATTTTTAAATTGTTTTGTTTTCCATCTGGCTCATTCTATGGAAATGTTACATTTTAGGGTTACAAGTTGTTTATATCTTTAAAAAATATATGTTATTTCAAAAGCACCTTCTTGAGCCTTCTGTTTAGGAATTAAATATTGTCAGTGAATTATATAATTTTATAAATGAGTAACTACAGACGTGCTCCCGACAGTCAAGTATAATTAGTATAGTGTGTGTTGTTTATGAGGTCAAAAAGATAAATGAACATCATATTATAAATACAATCTGTTCTTTCTATATAAACATATTTTTGTGTTTTATAATTTATTTATTTTTACTCTGTCACATTAAATGTGCTTAAACATAATTTTGCATCCACTAAATTTTTCTACAGAGAATAAATAATAATAATCATAATAATCATAATAATCATAATTATTATTATTATTATTATTATTATTATTATTATTACTGACTGAGGAACTAATATTTCATAGAAACCTTTGAAATGGCCAAAGTACTAAAGCAGTAGTTCGGTAAACAGAAATTATGTTATTATGACATTAAATGATGACATTATGTTATTCCCGCAGATCAGAGAAAGCGAGGAGGAGTGGGGAGTCCCTCATTCGTTCACCTTGTTCGGGCAGCGGCAGTCTGTGGTGGTGGCAGCCAGGTATTCATTAACACACATGCAAAGATGCTTGTAGATATCTGAAAATGAAAGCAAAGAAATTGCAGACAGGAATAAAAGGGGAATAAAAATACAAACCGTGCATTGTGAATGGAAGAGGAAAAACAACTGGTCTGTATTAAATTAATAGAGGGCAGCCTCGTTAAAGTTTTCTTATCCTCAAATTAAACTGGACTGCATGACCTAGTTTCCAGTCACTTACTCAGTCACTGATTAAAAAGTTTTATCTGGCTGTAAAGTGGCAGTTTCATGTGAAGCAGACTTAATAATATGCATTTCCCTTCATGAAGGCTTCTCATTTTCTGCCTTTTTTCCAAACCGATCTGCTCAGCTGTTAAAGTTAGAGATGCCCTATCACTTGTTTATTTTAACATGTCTACTTCCTGCTGTGTCCAGCTGTACATCAGAGATGGAGCGCTGGGTGGAGGACATCAGGATGGCCATCGACCTGGCAGAGCAGAGCAGCAGCTTAAACAATGACCTGCTCTCTACCAGCCTCTCTGACAACAGTAAGTCATCTACTGTTGGTTTAACGCTAAACGTTAAATTGATTCTTCTCTCTGCCCAAACACCACATCATCATCACATCTGTCAGGACTGTGGGAACCAGAAAATCAATAAGATCAGTCATTAACCACATGTCTACACTTCTTTATGAGGCTTTTTTCTATAGGCCTTTTTAAAATAGATCAACCCTTACCTGTTAGACACTACTGCACAGTCCTCCTCCGCAGCTTTCAGCACCCCATGAATATACTCAGGTCCAGGTGGTCGCTTCATCGTATTTTTAATGTTACCTGATATATGTAGGTGCAGACCCGAGGTATCCCTGACTTTTCTCATCCTGTTGTATCCGTCAAGCTATTCAATAAGGCCTCCTCCCGTTGACCTGTTTGGTTTGACACCCTGCATTGTTTGTCATTGGAGTCCACATGCCATGTTCATTTTTAACTCAAGCGGTTAAAGAGTATTGCCTTACAAGTGACAACAAAAGAGGGCTTCTTTCTCTTTCTCGTTTCCTTTTTTTAAAAAAAATGAAACTTTATTGAAATTGTTTTGATGCTGAAAGATTCCCACGATAAAAGGGCTTTGTTCTCATGTTTTTTGAGCCCACTACCAAAGCCCATGGACATGGATGTTAGGTTAAAAGGTTATTCTAATCTATCCATAGATAGGAACGGGAGTGTGAATGACTGTCTGGCTCTGTGTCTTAGCTGGGATACGCTTCAACCCCTCTGTGACCCTGATTTGTACACAAATGAGTATATTTGTGGTAAAGTCCAATCTGAGCGTGGTTGCTTTAACGGGTGTTTTCACTTTGTAAAAATAATTTGATGGTTTATAATTGCATGGAGCATGAATGAATGAAGAAATCATAATGCATCTGTTCAGAGTGAAGTTCTCTCCTGCTAACCACCCTCATTTTCACCTGCTTGTTTTTTGCAGAGCTCTCAGAGGACGGAGGGGGCGAGCAGGAGTCTGAGGACGAGCTTGGAGGCTCGCGCTCGTCCCTGGAGCGCCAGGGTCATCGCGGTAACACCACCATGCATGTCTGCTGGCATCGCAACACCAGCGTTTCCATGGTGGACTTTAGCATAGCTGTGGAGGTACCACTAATGCCCGTCTTCTCCTGCCACATTCCCTGTTTTTCCTTCCCACCTCTGTCTTTGGAGTCCAGCTGCCTGTTTGTGTCCCACTTGTTTACCGCTGTTCTGTCTTCTTCTTCTTTGTGCTCAAAGAACCATTGCCCCGATGTCCTTTGTGTCTTTTCTTTCTGCTCATATCTGTGTTTTTGTCTTTCTCCATCGGCGTTCATCTGTATCTCTATTTCTGCATCTGTGTGCACTAACATTGGTAGAGGCCATCAGTAGTGTGGCCAGTGAGTTGATGAGGCCCCTCAGCAGACTTCATCTCTTGCTTTGCTGGTTTGCTGGTACAGAAAACACAGCCTGTCTTTTAGCGACACCTGCTGGATTAGAGAGGTACTGCAACAGCTGCAAACGTGTTTAGCTATACAAATCAGAAATAAATTAATAAATGACTCTTATAATAAATATTTTTTCCTAAAATTCGCAAATATTTATGCATTTTTTGCACTTTACCTACTGATGCTCATGCTAAATTTCAACATGACTATATTACATTGACAGGACCTGATGGCTTTCTCTTTCCCATAATCTCCTCCGTTTTAACATCCAGTTAGACTAACACTGTGTTGCATCATTGATTGTTTTATCCATTTGCTTTTTGCTCTCTCCTTTCTTCTGTCACCCTCACAGAACCAGCTCTCAGGTAACCTGCTAAGGAAGTTTAAGAACAGCAATGGCTGGCAGAAACTCTGGGTAGTTTTCACCAACTTCAGTCTGTTTTTCTACAAGTCACACCAGGTAAGACGAGAAGGAAAACACTGGCAGTTACAGTGCAAATACGCAGGAATGGTTTGACTTGATAATTAAAAGTGGGAAGCTGATAGTGTCTTTAAAATTTATTGAATTCACTTTTGGGAAGGTTACTTTTAAAACCTCCAAAGGTTGATTCTGTTCATCTGGACGTAGCGTTTTGTGGGAGAAACGTTTCGTCACTCATCCAAGTGTCTCAGCTGACTGCAGGTTTCCCCAAATCTTATAAACAGTACATTTGCATAATGACTGAAACCAGCCCACTGAAAGAACAATGGGCTGGGAGGTCAGTTCCTTAATCATAATTATGCAAATTCTCATGACCATTGATCAACAACCACTGACCAAAACCCACTGATCAATGGCCATGAGTACCATTCACAGAGAGTTGGGGAATGGCTGCAATCACAGCATTGTAAGATGGCGAAAGATGTACCCTTAGGCCCCCTCCTCGATTCAGGAGGGGTCAGTGGTTGTTGATCAATGGTCATGAGAATTTGCATAATTATGATTGACTGACTGATTGACCTCCCAGCCCATTGTTCCTTCAGTGGGCTGGTTTCAGTCATTATGCAAATGTACTGTTTATAAGATTTGGGGAAACCTGCAGTCAGCTGAGACACTTGGATGAGTGATGACGCTACGTCCAGATAAACAGAATCAACTTTTGGAGATTTACTTTCCTGGATAATTGAGAATGCATCAAGACGTTACTTTTAAAATGTATTCCACTACAGATTACATAATACATGCCCCAAAAATGTATTTTGTAACGTATTCCGTTACGTTACTCAATAATAATAATAAGGTATTCTGAATACTTGTGGTTACTTAATATATTATCATACTTTATACAACTACATGAATGTACTATTGCTGTGTGATTTATTACTTTTACTGAAGGTTATTCGCCATACCAAAACCAACTAGATTTTTAAATCTTAATATAAATGAGTAACAGTAGGTGGACAATAGGTAAGGCTGCACTTTTTGCAGCGATCTCGTATAGAAAACTATTCCGCACGTATATATAATTCTTTTAAATATTTCTTCACGTCATTATGCGGACCGCATGTAGAGGTGACATGGGCGGCAAGATTGAGACCCGGCATTAGAAGCCTCATAATGTGTGTTTTGGTGGAAACCAAAAATAGAGAGGTGACAGAAACAGGAAAATACCACCGTGTAATCCATTCATTTCAACAAAGTAACTGTATTCTGAATACTACCTTTTTAAACAGTAACTGTAATGGAATACAGTTACTCATATTTTGTATTTTACATACGTAATGGTGGTACATGTATTCCGTTACTCCCCAACACTGATTGAATTAGATTGAATTTGTGCAGTCGCAGCCACAGAATGTAGTTTCGGTTACTCTGATCAGTTTAATAGTAGAGGTTGTATTAACAGATGTTTCCCTCTTCTGACTCATGTGCAGGATGACTACCCTCTGGCGAGCCTTCCTCTGCTGGGCTACTCTGTCACCGTCCCATCGGAGTCAGAAAACATCCACAAGGACTACGTCTTCAAACTCCACTTCAAGTCTCACGTCTACTACTTCAGATCAGAGAGCGAGTACACCTTTGAGAGGTGGGTGTACAGTAATAGAGGCAAATAGAGAAATGCAATTAGTTACAACGTGCTTTAACTTAAACCATCCTTTTATTTTTTTAATCCGACTCTCTGAAGCTACATCCATCTTTTACAACGTTTGATAAATTCCTTAAATCCTTTTAATGTCCAGAACGACTCCACAGCTTGATGCTGACTTTTTAAATTGTCACCGTTTTTACAGTAAAATAGAAAATAAAGCAAAATATGCCTTAGGATGTGGCTAAGCTGTGAGTGGCAACTCATATGGGTATGCAGTGGTCTCAGGCGTCATCTAAAGCCTGGAAAATTAAAATGAATTTTTTTTTTTTTTAGGAATATTTGGAAATGCATTTACTTTATGTGTTCATACACTGCATATCATGTTACAAATATAAAGCTCATCTTCTCTTCTTTCTGAAACATTTAGATTTTCTCTCTAGCACAGATGGTAAGAGAGTGACACTCATTTAAAGAGCACTTGTAAATAAAGGCTTAAAATTTAATCTGACACTTGAACAGCTGAAAGGCATTTCTACATGCTATGTGTGGGTCCAATAAACAGGTTTAGAAAAAACAATTACAAACTACAGGAAAGAGACTGCTTATAGTCTGGGCCCTCTTCTGAAATTCAGATAAATTGTTTCATTTTAAATGTAAAAGTCAATTTCTGTCTAGTTCAATTTACCAAGTTGTATTGCATTATATATTTAAATTATTTTAATAGAACGTTTTGTGAGCAAACCCAAGTAAGGAAAGCATTAAGTATTTTAAAAAGTGAATATTAACAGTAACACTATTCAAACAGTCTCCTTAGCCCTGTAACCGACTAGCAACCTTCCCAGGGTGCACCCCACCTCTCGCCCTATGATAGCTGGGATATGCTTCAGCCCCTCCCATGGCCATAAATTAGATAAGGTGGAGTAAACGGATGGACGGAGTATTCAAAGAGAACTTCTGCGATGTTTGATATATTTCAATCAATGTTTGAAGCTACTGATATAAATCCTTTTTTCCCACCAGGTGGATGGAGGTGATCCGGAGCGCAACCTGCTCTACTAGCCGATCACTGCCGAGCACCAGGAAAGACCTTTACTGATGATTCCTCCACCTCCACCTCATACTCTCTTGAGTGAAGATCTCGACTGCACAAACACCAGGAAAGACTCTTCCAGCTGCACGAGCGGACACTAATTATTACCTCTGACTCCTTACACAGACTCCACTCAGAGGTCTTCCCTCTTCACCTTATTATTACACTTTCCACACCATCAGTGTCTGATTAGCAAAAACTGTCTGCAGTCATCCACAATGTAATTCTATGTGTAATTTTTCCATTTGTCCTTGTCAACCTGGAGCGCCACATTGTGTTATTTTTTTTTCTTCCACCAAAGCGAGAGAAAAGGCGTACCCGAGCGCGGGCGAAGGATCTGAATCCCTTTGGCCTCACTTTCTCCGAGCACTCCTCTGGTTCACTGATATTTGGCCGGTGCTTTATAATATTTTATATTTCTGAAATGGATGAAAAGTATCTTAAGATCGGAAATAAACGTTATGTAGAAAGCTGTGTGCATGTGGACACAATAATTATGTTTTTAATTGTATGACAATCTGTCTGTATGTAATTTGATGACTTAAATGTAATGTAAGTTTGAACACAAGAAATCCTGCAATGTTTTTTTTATCATTATTATTATTATTAAGTCATCTTTTTTGTACAGTACTTTTGACACTGTGAAATATTCTTAATTCTTTTTTTTTCCTTTGTCTTGTTTCAAAACACCTGAAACCTTCCAAAGCCAACAGAGATTTTGCTGGTTTATTGCTAATTACCTTCTCTTCAGTATTCCTCAAGTTTTATGGATTTTACTATTTTAAAATAAAGATGAATAGATTGTGTTCATATGGAACAAAATGAAACTTATACAAAAATTTCTTTTTTTCTTTTTTTATTGAGTTTATCCCTTAGAGGGGATGAACACAGCACATGGAAGATCATACAAAAAAAATCACGGTGAATTTTTATTTTTGAGGTAAACAAAGATGTGCAGAATGTAAATATTAAACACATTGTCTGCAGATTAGTGTAAAATCAGAGTTCATATCTGTGTAATATAAATGCTCTAAGCCTAGAGTGTCAAACTCAGTGAAAATCTCCTTTCTGTCAGTATAAACACATTTAACTACACATTTAAAGTGCAAATCATTTTTTCTACCATAGTAAATGAAAAGAAATGTTAAAAATCAGATCTTTATCAGTGTGTAAAAATGCTATAAAAATTTCCAAAGCCCACCCAGTGGGTCAAATTGGCAGCCTTTGCTGGGCTGAATCTAGCACCCGGAGCTTATGTTTGACAGCACTGCTAAGAGCAGGGGTATCAAATGACACAATGTGTTTTGTTTAATGGCATTGACACCACACATTGATCAGCAGCTGGGTCATTTCCTCCCAGACTTCTATGCAATCACTTTTTTATGAAGCACAGGCTGGCCATACATTACTCATAATGCTTCCCAGATGATTATATATCATAAAAAGAAAACCAAATTTGTAAACAACATCACTAATCTGCAACTTTCAGTGGCACAGTGTGCCCTTTTCCTTCTCTACACTATCCTTACTTTGATTCTAAGCCTGCCTATCTGCTATTAAAATTAATTTCTCTTGTGATTTCCTTAATCATAATTATGCAATGTATGCAATGTAAATGGCCTGTATAGTATAAATACAGGCCATTTACCATTTCTTTCAATTCGACACACGACAGGAAACAGCACCCATGTCCAGGTGTTGTTTTCCTGAGAGCTTCTCTACCCGTTCTGCTAACACCACATAGAGGTCCGTTTGTCAGTTGCATCAGCATGATGAGATCAGTCCCGCTCTTCTCTACGCCTATATTTGAGCCCATGATCTCCCTCTGAGTCGTAGTTCTCGTAGCACGGCAGCGAGCGCCAGTCTGGCTCGTACGTTGCGGTGTACACAAACGCATCCATGATGCTCCCCGGTGACACCTTCTCCTCTCCTTCCATCTTCCCCACCCACTCCTTCACCTCCAGCTGGACCACCGTCCGCTGGTACAACGTTGGGACGCTTTCAAAGTCATCCAGGAATTTCAGCATCTGGTCATCCACTTTGTAGATCTCCCCGTGCACTCGGTGACCCTGGCCAGGGATGTTGAGCAGGAAAGGGATGTTGTCCTTGGTCGTGATCACTAGCGGATATTTCTGGATGGTGAACGCCGAACCCAGGTACTCGGCCTTTCCATTGTTGCTGTCGAACATGCGGTAGTTGTTGGGCTGCCCCTTCTTCAGAGTGCCGTAAACGAAGACCCGAGTCATGAGGACAGAGGACCAAAGACACACCTGTCGTGTAAAGAAGGAAGAAACATCTCTGTGAGCAAATTCCCAGCAGGTATTACTGGCAAAAATATATTTATACAATTTTACTATTACTCTGTATATCAGTCACTTGTGCAGAAGTGCAAATTTGATCTCATTTAAAATGATCAGACCTTCAAAATAAAATAAAATCGAACTCAAATCTAGGTAACACTGTTTGGAAATTTGAACTCCTTACACGCATTAATTAGGAAAGCTGTCACGGCCAGCGGAGGCAGACCTTGTGGAGAGTGTGTGGTGGACCCAGGCGCGAACACAGGCGAGGAGACGGGAGTGAACTTAAACTGATACACATACGACACGACAACGAACAAAGGAAGACTGAGGACTTAAATACACACATGAGGCAGAGACAGATGAGAACACAGCTGACTAGCTGATTATGAAACATAATGACAATACAGGGGAGAGTAACACTAACTACAATGAACAAAGAACGCCAGACTCTTCCAAAATAAAACAGGAAACACGGAGACATAGACTTAACATAACCACATAGACATGAAACATGACAGGTAGACGCATGAACCAGGGAGACTGAGTACAGGGGGGAGATCACAGAAACAACTAAGAAATAAAGGACTAAACAGAAACCTAGAAATTAACTAGATCAAAAATGAATACAAAAATACATAAAACTCAAACACTGGGTCACACGACCCAGTACCGTGACAGAAAACAATCAGCAGATTAACATTACATGCACAGATTAAACATGACTATAATAAAACACTTCCTACAACACCAACTGTCAGACTGGATCTGCACACATTCCTGTCATGCTGTGACTTGTGAACTTGGACCTGTCGTGACTGGATCTCTTTGGATTGGTTATTAATATAAAGTACAGTACGTGCTCAATGATTAACAGGCTGAGAGATAATCGGACAGATACTTTAGTGTTAGAGCTGGGAGAGGTCATTCAATGACAGTATATGAGTGAAAAACACTGTTTACACCATGTTATGCTTATGGGTAAGTTAACAGTCAGTTACAATTACCAGGCAAACACATCATCACAGTGTAATGCAAAAGCATAAGCTAGGCTACCTCAGAGCTCCTCAAACCTGCTCGAGCTGTAAGAACAATACCGATACCGGAAGTGCAGCTTTAATACACACGCTGTGAAGTGACACACGTTTTTTCCGTCATAAATCTACCATAAAGAAGCGCAGACCCACCTTGAATAAGCAGTAGCTTTTCTACTGGAAAGAGCCGTCACTACTGTCTCTGGATGGCGCATGCGTGGAAGCAATCCAAATAAAGGAGGAAACAACAGAGGGCGCTAAAGTGACAAACAAAACAAGGGCATCGTGGGAAAGGACCTAGAAAAAGGGTTTTTATACTATACTGAAGTCAAAATTAAGCAAAAAACAAACAAAGAAATAAACAATTAAACATTAAATACATCATTAAATATCAATATTTTTCACTAACTATGTTGGAAATAAGATTATTATTGAAAAATTAATTGTATGTATTAATTAATTGACTTTGTCATTAATTGCCCTCCTGTAGACTGGCGATCTATAACCTTAACCTGCCTCTTGCCCTAGCCGGGCAGCTGATATAGATTTCAGCCCGTGCACGTCTGCTGGCATTACAACACCACCGTGTCCATGGTGGACTTCAGCATAGCTGTGGAGATACCACTACTGTGTTTGCGCGCGTCTTTCTTCTCTTGCCACATTCCCCATTTTTCCTTACTACCTCTGACATTGGAGTCCAACTACTTGTATCCCACTTGTTTACCACTGTGTTTTCTTCTTCTTTGCTCAAAGAACGATTGCCCCAAATCAGAAATCAGAAAGAAATGAATAAATGACTTTTGTAATAAAGAAGATAAATACATATGTAAAAATCTGTGTAAGTAATTTGCAGGATGTTTATTCTGCTTATGACAAAGCAGAATAAAAGTTTATCCCCTGGAGGGGACAGACTCAGCACAGATCATACAAAAGAAATCAGGAATTAATTTTTATTTCAGAGGTAATCAAAGACAAGTGGACTGTAACAGTTAAACACATCAGAGTTCATATCCGTGTGATATAAATGCTCTAAGACAGGGGTGTCAAATTTATTTTACATCATGAGCAACATACAATCAGCTTTGATCTTAAGTGGGACCAGTAAAACTCGCCTTTCTGTCAGTGTAAACTTGTTTAACTGCACATTTACAGTGCAAGTCCATTTTATATTGTAGTAAATGAAAAGAATTAAAAGGAATCTGACATCTTTCTCAGTGTGAAAAGCTTTAAAAGTTTCCAAAGCCCACCTGCCAGGCAGAATCTGGCCCCTGGGTCTCTTCTAAGCCTTTCTTAACCTAGATGCCATTAAATAAGACTTTCTTTGAGATCACACACTCATCGGAAAACTCTTTGGTGAGGTCATAAATCAAGTAAGCAGCTGGGTCATTTCCTCACAGACTTCTATGCAATCACATTTTTATGAAGCACAGGCTGGCCATTCAAAAGAATGCAGGTTGAAGGCACTTACACATTAGCTTCACCTGGAAGTTAACGGTAGTAAACTTTAAAAGGTCAGTGTTATGAAGCTGATCTGACAGTACATCTTCATTTTTCTGAGAAAGGTTTGCAGAGCATTCTTCTAGGTGCACAGCATCAGGCTGGAGTGATTTTCTCAGGGACATGGAGGCTTGTCAGTTTCTAAAACAAAGCTTTTACCCTGTCAGAGGAAGCTAGCTGCTGACAAATGGGTGCATGTGGTTCAGAGAACGTTGGCCCTACAACTTATTATTTACTCTACATGTGCAATTACTGAACTGCAGATCAACTTTTCTATTAATATTTTCACATTAGTGAGAAACTAGATGACCCTTATGAGGAAAACATTGAGGGAACGGTTTACCCGGGATAGGGTTACCTATCCCGGGCCCTGCCCTGGAGCCAGGCCCGAGGAGGGTGCATCTGGTGGATGGGCTTTAGTCCATGGGGCACAGCCGGGCACAGCCCAAAAAGGGGACATGGGCCCATCCTCGAACTTGCTCGAGCTGTAAGAAAAATACAGATACGGAAGTGTAGTTTTAAAGCATATGCTGTAAAGTGACACGCGTTTTTCCGCTTGGCTCTCAGTGATAAAACTACCACAAAGAAGCGCAGACCCACCTTGAATAAGCAGTAAGTAGCTCTTCTATTGTAAAAATGAACCACCGTAACAGTTTGAGGACGTGCCAAGGACGACGCATGCGTGGAAGTGCTTCAAATAAAGGCGGAAACAACAGAGGGCGCTAAAGTGCGCTAAAGAAAAAAATTGCATTGTGGGAAAGGACCCAGAAAAAAGGGTTTTATACTATACTGAAATCTAAAATTAAGCAAAAAAACAAATAAACCATTAAATATTGAATACATCATTAAACATTTAATGAAATGTGTCATTAATTACCTTAGAAATAAGTCATTTAGTATTGGCAACTTCGTCATTAATTAGCTCTGCTGTAGCCTGTCAACCTGCAGCTTGCGTCTTCCCTCAGCTGGGCAGCTGATATAGGTTTCAGTCCATGCACATCTGATGGCATGGCAACACCAGCATGTCCACGGTGGACTTTAGCATAGCTGTCGAGGTACCATTGCCGTGTTTGTGTTCGCCTTTCTTCTCCTGCCACATTCCCCATTTTTCCTTCCCACCTCTGACTTTGGAGTCCAACTGCTTGTTTGTGTCCCACTTGTTTACCGCTGTTCTGTCTTCTTCTTCTTTGTGCTCAAAGAACCATTGCCCCGATGTCCTTTGTGTCTTTTCTTTCTGCTCATATCTGTGTTTTTGTCTTTCTCCATCGGCGTTCATCTGTATCTCTATTTCTGCATCTGTGTGCACTAACATTGGTAGAGGCCATCAGTAGTGTGGCCAGTGAGTTGATGAGGCCCCTCAGCAGACTTCATCTCTTGCTTTGCTGGTTTGCTGGTACAGAAAACACAGCCTGTCTTTTAGCAACACCAGCTGGATTAGAGAGGTACTGCAACAGCTGCAAACGTGTTTAGCTATACAAATCAGAAATAAATTAATAAATGACTCTTATAATAAATAAGATAAATACATATATCTAAATCAATGTAAGCAGTTTGCAGGATGTTTAGTCTGCTTATGACAAATGAGTAAAACAATTTTTTCCTAAAATTCGCAAATATTTATGCATTTTTTGCACTTTACCTACTGATGCTCACGCTAAATTTCAACATGACTATATTACATTGACAGGACCTGATGGCTTTCTCTTTCCCATAATCTCCTCCGTTTTAACATCCAGTTAGACTAACACTGTGTTGCATCATTGATTGTTTTATCCATTTGCTTTTTGCTCTCTCCTTTCTTCTGTCACCCTCACAGAACCAGCTCTCAGGTAACCTGCTAAGGAAGTTTAAGAACAGCAATGGCTGGCAGAAACTCTGGGTAGTTTTCACCAACTTCAGTCTGTTTTTCTACAAGTCACACCAGGTAAGACGAGAAGGAAAACACTGGCAGTTACAGTGCAAATACGCAGGAATGGTTTGACTTGATAATTAAAAGTGGGAAACTGATAGTGTCTTTAAAATTTATTGAATTCAGTGTTGGGAAGATTACTTTTAAAATGTATTCCACTACAGATTACAGAATACATGCCCCAAAATGTATTTTGTAACGTATTCCGTTACGTTACTCAATGAGAGTAACGTATTCTGAATACTTTGGATTACTTAATATATTATCATACTTTATACAACTACATGAATGTACTATTGCTGTGTGATTTATTACTTTTACTGAAGGTTATTCGCCATACTAAAACAACTAGATGTTTAAATCTTAATATAAAATGAGTAACAGTAGGGTGGACAATAGGTAAGGCTGCACTTTTTGCAGCGATCTCGTATAGAAAACTATTCCGCACGTATATATAATTCTTTTAAATATTTCTTCACGTCATTATGCGGACCGCATGTAGAGGTGACATGGGCGGCAAGATTGAGACCCGGCATTAGAAGCCTCATAATGTGTGTTTTGGTGGAAACCAAAAATAGAGAGGTGACAGAAACAGGAAAATACCACCGTGTAATCCATTCATTTCAACAAAGTAACTGTATTCTGAATACTACCTTTTTAAACAGTAACTGTAATGGAATACAGTTACTCATATTTTGTATTTTACATACGTAATGGTGGTACATGTATTCCGTTACTCCCCAACACTGATTGAATTAGATTGAATTTGTGCAGTCGCAGCCACAGAATGTAGTTTCGGTTACTCTGATCAGTTTAATAGTAGAGGTTGTATTAACAGATGTTTCCCTCTTCTGACTCATGTGCAGGATGACTACCCTCTGGCGAGCCTTCCTCTGCTGGGCTACTCTGTCACCGTCCCATCGGAGTCAGAAAACATCCACAAGGACTACGTCTTCAAACTCCACTTCAAGTCTCACGTCTACTACTTCAGATCAGAGAGCGAGTACACCTTTGAGAGGTGGGTGTACAGTAATAGAGGCAAATAGAGAAATGCAATTAGTTACAACGTGCTTTAACTTAAACCATCCTTTTATTTTTTTAATCCGACTCTCTGAAGCTACATCCATCTTTTACAACGTTTGATAAATTCCTTAAATCTTTTTAATGTCCAGAACGACTCCACAGCTTGATGCTGACTTTTTAAATTGTCACCGTTTTTACGGTAAAATAGAAAATAAAGCAAAATATGCCTTAGGATGTGGCTAAGCTGTGAGTGGCAACTCATATGGGTATGCAGTGGTCTCAGGCGTCATCTAAAGCCTGGAAAATTAAAATGAAATTTTTTTTTTTAGGAATATTTGGAAATGCATTTACTTTATGTGTTCATACACTGCATATCATGTTACAAATATAAAGCTCATCTTCTCTTCTTTC